TTGGTGGTTTACATGGAGAAAGAGAATTTTGGAAAAATTGAAAATGATACAATATTGCAACGTTTTCAAACATAAGATCATGTAGAATGCCGTTGTCTAAAATCACAGTTATAGAGTAGGTTGTATTGCGTATTTCTTTAGTATTTTGGGTTGTATTGAATTACGTTTTCATATATATATAATTTTTACTCAATGCTGCGTCCGCCCCTACTCGTAAGTCGTATTATTCATTTCTCTTCATTTCATTGTAAATGTATTACAGCCTATTTCTCTCACTAACCCATTCCAGTTTATTTCTCTGACTTCTCCACTTCAATTTCGACCATCGTCTCTCGCCAATATACACCGCTGACCAAAAATTCAAGCTCCTCTTCTTAATCACCACCAAACAAGCAGTCGAAGCACTATCAGAAGAGGGATAACCATCTCGTAGGTAGTGGAGGAAGAAAGAATATCATTATTGGATTCAAAACTAGTTCTATTAAGGTGAAAATGGTTTGGAAAAGGGAGAAAAGACAATAGTGGTTGCTTTGAAATTCATGAAAACTAGAGTGATAGTTTTCATGAATTTCAGTCTAAAGTGGATTTTATTAATAATAATATTTTGTAAGTTTTTGTTTTGGAAGCTAGCGAAAGGGTTAAAATTGATGTGTAAACGTCGAAATCAATTTATTATTCTACTGCAAATTGAAATATTGGGCTTTGGAGTTTTGTAATCTTTCTACCATGAAATTTGTCGGATTTTTAATACATTAATTTTGGTTTCGAAATATTTGCGTTTGATTATTGTAATTCAAATTTGAATGAAGGATAATGCTATACGTACCGGAATTTTATTACTGAAATCCTACCGAATTTTAAAAAATCTAATTTGACACTGCAACATTCATTATCCCCTGACAGCCACGACCACCCCCTTTTACCCACCTCACCCAGCCACAACCCAACACCGCCCCCTTCCCCTTTTTCCTTATTTATTCTCAAATTTCGAAATGATTACGTGTATATTAAACGAAGTCGAAATATTACATCCTTAATACCATTTCAAAGTATTCACGGCCTAATTTATTACAATTATAACCGCGCGCGAAACGGTCAACCGTAGCAAACGTTACCACTCGTCGAAATAGGTCGTTGCAAAATATATAAATATTTTTTTCTTATTTTTATCTAAATTTTCGGGCTCATCATGGGATGTCAAACGAAGTCGAAATATTGCATCCTTAATACCATTTCGAAGTACTCACAGCCTAATTTATTGCAATCCTAACCACTGCGAAACGGCCAATCGTAGCAAAAGTTACCACTCGTCGAAATAGGTCGTTCCAAATTACATAAACGTTTTTTTCTTATTTTTATCTCAATTTTCGAACTTATCACGAGATATCAAACGAAATCGAAATCTCTTATTCTTAACACCATTTGATAATTACCGTTTTTGAAATTAATTATGTCATATATTACACACAACCAAATAGGATGTGTCATTGTACAGTCCCCTAGACTGTGGCTTAACCCTAGTGGTTAGGGTTGAACAAAATTCCTGAATCAAACCGAACCGAATCGAATCAAGCGGTTCTTCATAAGTTAAATATCCGAACGAGTATCTAAATCGAGAACCGACGGGTTTGATTCGGTTCTAGGTTCTAGACCTAAAACCGAATAAGAACCGAATTTAAATAATTTTTTATATTAAATTAGTTAATTTTTTTTAGTTTTTCTAAACAAATTAGCAAATTAACTAATTTAGTGATTAATATTCTAACTCTCAAGCCAAGTCCATGTCTAGCTAGCCCAGCTCAACCCAATTTTTAAATTCAATTTTTTGAATTAATTTTCTGGTCCTATTATTAATTTCATTCTTAACCTAAGATTTGTGCCTTTTTAAGTTTTTATCTTTCCCTTTCCAATTTCACGCTTTCATTCAATAACCACTGAGTCACTTACCCCAAATTATTTGATAAATTGAAAACCTACATCTATATGCCCAAATCGAAACCGCCGACTGCTGAGTCCGACTTTCCCTCTCCAACTGCCCATCAAAGCCGCGACCTCCAACCACGACCACTGATCGTTGACCATTAGAATCTGTTAAAAAAATTAATTATGGTACGGAATCGAATCGAACTGAATCGAATGGAACCGAACCCGAACAGTTCCATAATTATATTTGGACCCGATTGTTCTATTTATTAAATACCCGAACCGAATCGAATCGAATCGGATCATGTCCAGCCCTACTAATGGTGCACTAGTGCTGACGCAGACCATTACGAGAGATGCACTAGTGCTGGGATTACGAGAGATGCACTAGTGCTGACGCAGACCATTACGAGAGAGAGAGAGAGATTCTGTGAATTATGATGTGTTTGGTGTGGAAAATTTTGTAGAATAGGTCCCTGGCTTATGGGCAATTCAGTATTTGAGATTTCTGACTTTTTATTTATTGGCTCGAGTCTCAAATCTTTTTATACTTAGGTCATACGGGGCAAATCGATTATTTTTATTTGAACAGTTCCAGATGAAGGAGTATCAACATATAATGGAGAAGAGTTGGGGTAGTGGGAATGTCAAGGTGATTGGAGGTGTCGAATCCCTTTCAAGGGATTCAAATGGTTTTGCCGCTTTGGACTCCGGGGTGAGTAGTCTAAAGAGTTGGGAGTCGGGTGAAATTTTGGAGGTGGAGAGGCGATATGAAATGGATTAGGGATATGTTAGCATGTTGTATTAGTGATGCAGCGCAAAATAAAGAATTAAAACGAAAACATTAAAGATACAAAATCCGAAATCCACCGAAGAATGAAAGAATAAGCCTCTGTTTGGTATCCATTCTTTTTTTCATTCTCATTCTTCTACTAATTTTCAACTATACATTCATCAATAAAATAATATTTTTCATCACATTAATAACTTTTCCTTCATTTTCAACCACAAAAAAGGTGTGATTTAACACAAAGAATGCATTCCTTTCTAGAATAATGGTTACCAAACGGTGCCTTAAGTTAAAATTCGTTGCTTCCATTTATTCTCCATGTTTTTGGTAAATGGTTACCAAACGATGCCTTAAAAAAGTTTCAAAATGTATAAAAACAATGAATTAATTCTTTATTTATAAGGGTTTAAACGAAAACCTAGCCTAAATGAACTAAAATCGTAAATAAATAAAAAATAAACTAAATGATAAAAATAATACTAAAATTTTAAAAACAATTTTCAAGTCTGTCTCTTTGTTCTCTTTTCGAAAAAGTATTATGGGTCCAAATTTGGGCTCGAACACCAAATTTACAATTTACTGCTTTTTTTTCCTTTCGATTCAACTGCTCCTCAATCCATTCGACGATCTATTTTACATCAATTAGGGGAATGACACATGCTTGGGTCAGTTTTCATGAACTTCACAATTTGGGTTGATAACTGTTTAACCCAATCGATTTGGATCAAGTCCGGTGGTAGGTCAAACATCCAAAGCAACACATATACAATATTTATACTTTTATCCGCACTTGTTGGATGATTATAGTATTTTAATTGGGCTGCTTGATTTGTGCTTTATGGATAACTGGAATGAATGTTTTTATTATTGGTGTGTGTGACGATTTTATGGAGTTTGTCGCGTTTGGCAAATATTGAGTTTGTTGTGTAATCTCGAGTTTGAAGTTAGGTAGTTGAGCAAACTCGAGAACATACTCGACTTTTGCTTTGTGAATTCGAAATTTGACATAATAACTCATTAGATGTCTATAAGATTCGATATTTGCTGTGTTAATTAATTTGAACCCAAAACCAAATCAGTAATACAAATCGATCCAAACAGAATCAATTTGGATTGGTTTGATTTGAGTTGAACTATTTCGATATCAGATTGGGCTCAAAATAGGATCCACGCCTTGCGCTAATTATTATTGTGGTTTAGTATTTATCAAAAATAATTAAACGAAAATCTTCTTGGCAACTTTTGCGTCATGATTTCTTGTTTGTTTCCTCTCGAGAGACCATTCCATTTTGGGCTCTTTCTCAGGCCCATGGGCCCCCACTTTTTTCTCACTCACTTAAAAATCATTATCCTTCCTGTAAGACGAAAACCCCGTTTCTGAGCCATTTGAAAGCAAAGAAGATGCTCTGTAACAGGGTAATAACTCGAGTGTCTTTGAGTCTGACAAACGCCACACTTTTCGTATCATTTTGGATGTGTTAAGTCAGTAGCAGTACCACACTACTAAACGACGCCGTTTTCTGACGTTCAAACTTCAAACTCTCGTTGCGTGTACCAGTACCATCCTCTTCATGTTCCCAACAAACAGTACCCCTTCTCTCTCTCTCTCTCTCCCTCTCTCTAATCTCCCCCTATATCAAATGCATTTACAGACAATGTTGTATTATGTGCGCTAAAGTATTCTTCTAGAGCATTTTTGTATCAGTTTTTACGTTTTGTAGTAAAATCTTGAGGAATTTGATCGATGGCAACGGCGTTTAGGGTTCTACAGTGCGTTTTCTTGGTGTTGATGGCATGTTTTCTTGCTTCAAATGCTGTTTTGGAGCTGAAATTTGAAATCCCAGAAAGAGAAATCCTGTTTTTGTTCAAAAACTCCTTGAAAAACCCTGAAATTCTGTCTTCATGGACTGCTGCAACTTCGCATTGTGAATGGGATGGTGTTTCCTGTGAAGACGATCGAGTTGTCGCACTCGCTCTATCGACTCACACACTCATTGGACCCATTTCCACTTCCATTTTCTCTCTCAGCTTCCTTACCGTGCTCGACCTATCTGCAAATCAGTTCTACGGTGAAATTTCACCAAATATAGCTTCCCTGAACAGACTGAAATTTCTGGACTTGGGGAAAAACCAATTGACTGGAGAGTTACCGAGTGGACTGGGCGAGTTGACACAGCTACAGACTCTTCGACTCGGGCCCAACTTCTTCACCGGAAAAATTCCTTCCGAACTCGGAAACTTGGTAAAACTCTCTTCTCTTGACCTTTCTGGCAATGCCTTCACCGGTAAAATCCCACCCCACATAGGAAACTCGACTCAACTTCAAATTCTGGCTCTTGGAAATAACTTTCTCTCAGGCGCGATTTCTACAAGTCTCTTCACTAAACTTCAGGCTTTATCCTCTTTTGACGTGTCTAATAACTCTTTATCATCCAGCATTCCACCGGAAATTGGAAAACTCACTTCTCTCACTGAGATTTACTTCGGAAATAACCATTTTTCTGGTCAATTTCCACCGGAGATTGGCAATCTCTCGAAGCTTGAAGTTTTTTCATCGCCTTCTTGTTTTTTCAACGGCCCTATACCGCAGACAATCTCGAAATTGAAATCATTAAGCAAGTTTGACCTGTCTGATAACCCATTAAAATGCCCAATTCCGAAAGCCATTGGTGAGCTACAAAATTTGACTATATTGAATCTTGTTGATGCTGAACTTAATGGTACCATACCTTCTGAGCTCGGCAAGTGTAAAAAATTAAAAGTTTTGCTGCTTTCTTTCAATTCTCTTTCTGGGGATTTGCCTGAAGAGCTTTCAGAGTTGCCATTGATGACATTTTCTGCTGAAAAGAACCAGCTTTCGGGTCCTTTGCCTCTCTGGCTTGGAAAATGGAACCAGGTTGATTCCATATTGCTTTCGAACAATCAATTGTCAGGGCGAATTCCTGCCGAGATTGGCAACTGTTCTTTATTGAGTCACATAAGCTTGGGCAGCAATTTGTTGATTGGTGAGATTCCTAAAGAGCTTTGCAATGCTATTTCACTTACAGATATTGAGCTTGACCATAATTTTCTCACTGGGAATATTGATAATACTTTTGCGAAATGTAGTAATTTGACGCAATTAGTTTTGTTTGATAATCAGATAGTTGGTTCTATACCGGATTATCTTTCTGTGCTCCCTTTGATGGTTCTTGAATTGGATTCTAATAATTTTACTGGTGTTATTCCGTTGAGCCTGTGGAGTTCACAGAATTTAATCGAGTTTTCTGCTGCTAATAATCACTTAGAGGGCACCCTTCCAATGGAGATTGGAAATGCTGCATCATGTGAGAGCATTGTTTTTAGTAATAATCATTTGAGTGGTACAATTCCCAAGGAAATCGGAAAATTGAGTTCTCTTTCTGTGTTAAACTTGAACTCAAATTTTCTAGAAGGGTCTATTCCCATTGAGCTTGGAAATTGTACTGCGCTTACAACACTTGATCTGGGGAACAATAGTCTTAATGGCTCCATTCCGGAGGAACTCTCAGATTTATCTCAGTTACAATGCTTGGTTCTCTCTTACAATAATCTCCACGGGAATATTCCCTCCAAAGGGTCAAAGTATTTTCACCAGATTTATGATATTCCGGATTCAAGCTATGTTCAGCATCACGGAGTTTATGATCTTTCATTTAACAGATTAACTGGCTCAATTCCGGAAGAACTTGGAAGCTGTGTGGTGATTGTGGATCTTTTGTTAAGCAACAACATGCTGTCCGGGGAGATTCCGAGATCTTTAGCACGGTTATCTAATCTCACAACATTGGATCTGTCTGGAAACTTGCTGACAGGTAGTATTCCTCAGGAATTCAGTGACTCTGTTCTGCTGCAAGGCTTGTACTTAGGAAATAACAAGCTTACAGGCTCAATTCCGGAAAGCCTTGGTCAATTAAGTGGCTTGGTGAAACTGAATTTGACTTCCAATATGTTAACTGGTTCACTTCCAACTAGTTTTGGGAACTTGAGAGGGCTTACTCATTTAGACTTGAGTTCTAATGCACTGACTGGTGGGCTTCCCGCGTCACTTTCAAGTATGGTAAATCTCGTGGGCTTTTATGTTCAGCAGAACAAGTTATCGGGTCCTTTAGATGAGCTCTTCAAGAAATCTGTAGCATCGAGAGTTGAAATTGTGAACTTGAGTTGCAATGTCTTTAGTGGGTTCTTGCCAAAATCTTTGGGCAACATGTCATATTTGACACTCTTGGATCTTCACAGAAATGGTTTTACTGGGGAAGTTCCACCGGAGATTGGAAATCTTAAGCAACTTGAGTATTTAGATATCTCAGGGAATGAACTATGTGGACAGATTCCTGACGAAATTTGTGGCTTTCAGAATTCGGCTTTCTTGGATTTTTCTGATAACAGATTGGAGGGACGTATTCCAAGTAATGGGATATGCAGCAACCTGACAAAAGCTTCACTAGCTGGGAACAAGAATCTATGTGGTGGAATTGTGGGACTAAGGTGCCATTTGAAAAGCTTTGACCGAAAATCACCTCTGTTAAACGTTCGGTTCCTGGTGTCAGGTATGGTTGGAACAGCATTGATCACTCTTTCAGCCATTATTGTGTTGAGGATATGTGTTAATGGGGTTGGTAGAAATGATCCTGAGGAAATAGTGGACAGCAAGGTGAATAGCTCAGACGATCAGAATCTCTATTTCTCGAGTGGCAGCAGATCAAAAGAGCCACTAAGCATCAACATAGCTATGTTTGAGCAGCCTCTTTTAAAATTGACGTCAGTTGATATTGTTGAAGCCACTAACAATTTTTGTAAGGCAAACATAATTGGGGATGGAGGATTTGGAACCGTCTACAAAGCCACTTTGCCTGGTGAGAAAACAGTTGCAGTTAAGAAGCTAAGTCGAGCCAAAGCACAGGGTCAAAGAGAATTTGTTGCTGAGATGGAAACTCTGGGCAAAGTGAAACATCGAAATCTTGTTCCCTTGTTTGGTTACTGCTCTTATGGGGAGGAAAAAGTTCTTGTTTACGAGTACATGGTTAATGGAAGCTTGGATAGGTGGCTAAGAAACCATACTGGGACTCTTGATTTATTGGACTGGAGCAGGCGTTTCAAAATTGCTATAGGTGCTGCACGAGGGCTAGCTTTTCTTCACCACGGCTTCACTCCCCACATAATTCACCGTGACATTAAGGCTAGCAATATCTTACTAAATGAAGATTTCGAGCCAAAAGTGGCTGATTTCGGGCTAGCAAGACTAATAAGTGCTTGTGAGACTCATGTAAGCACCGAAATTGCTGGTACATTTGGGTATATTCCTCCGGAGTATGGGCAGAGCTGGAAGTCGACTACAAGGGGAGACGTCTATAGTTTTGGGGTGATTCTTCTCGAGTTATTGACAGGAAAGGAGCCAACAGGACCTGATTTCAAAGACATTGAAGGAGGTAACTTGGTCGGATGGGTGTTCCAGAAAATCAAGAACTGTCAGGCTGTTGATGTACTCGATCTATCTATTCTTGATGCCGATTCTAAGCAGGCGATGCTTCAGACCTTGCAGATTGCAGTTCTTTGCCTTTCTGAGAACCCGACCAATCGTCCTACTATGCTCAATGTTCTCAAGTTCTTGAAAGGGATCAAAGATGAGTAGAATACTTTCTTTCTGAATACGATCTCTTTATTTAAATGTTGTAATTATAATGAAGCAGTATTACTCGTGATTACATTTGAATGTAAGCTGCATATGTGAGTACAGTTCACTTATTTCATGACTTATCTAACGAAGGGAGGTATAATAGTCGACTCACCTGGCTCCCAACAACTCTTTTAGTCTTGAGAATGCTGATTTCTTTATTCTGTTCTATTTCTTGAATCATGAATGCTTTTAATGTCACATTTACTCGATTATTGAAGATTGTTTGGATTATCCAGAGCCTAATCACTTGAACAGAATGGCTGTTAGAATCTTTGGTCAGTCTTCTTAGTTGGTTTTCTAATAATTAAAGTTTGGCCTGTATAGAAGGTTCAGTAAATTGTGGCAAAACCGAAAAGAGAACCCAGTCTCTAATTTATAAACTATCGTGTTAGTCGGTTGATGACGATTTATGTTTTATTTGAGTTGCATTTCACATGGAGTAATGTTATTCATCATCATAATGATGGAATATCGGTGATGTGGCAACTCATTATCCTTCACACTTCTCTCTCTCCTCCCCCTCTTTCTCATAAAAATAGGTCTTCACAATCTCATATTCCATATAAATTGCCACATTACCGACGTTTCATCATAATGATAAATAATATTCTTTAACCTCCCTAAAAAGGAAAGTAGGGATACGAGTGGCTTCATTCGGGTTTAATGGAGATGGTAGCAAGGACCGAGTAAGGGGAGAACAAATTTTTTTGCATTGGGCTGAATCGGCTGATAGGTAAAAAAAAAAAAATGTTTCCCACAAAAATATCTATGAAAAATTAAACGAGCTTGGGGTGAAGCCCGGGATTGCCCATGCCCAATGTCATTAAACGGATATAATGTTGAGTAGCCATTGAGTGGGCCACAATCGAGCTTGGAGTGCTTGGTTGTAAGCTCGATGCTCGTAACCAATAGTAAATGAAAATACGACCTAAATCACGTGCAACAAATATGAACATTGAATGAATTCAATGTAGTGTCACTACTTAAACGAGAATATTGTGCTATGCTATTAGAGAATGCAATCTTGCTATATTTTTCAGGAGTTATGCTACATGTGCAAAGTTGGGTTACAAAATTGATTGACAAAATAACATTTACGCCAATCATTTTAAAAACAGATTTTTAAATCATTTGAAATCAACAGTCTAGATTTTACCAACACACTTTGTAACCCAACTTTTGAAACTCAATTTTGTACAAATAGCTTTATCGATTTTTCATTCTCATTCTACAATAATTTGACTTATCCACTTGTTCCTCTTAGCGCAATGGAATTATCCACTTGTACATAACTATTTTTTCTGTAAAAATGACTAGAATACTCACATGGGAGAGAGCCCCATGTGAGTAAAATGCTACTATAAAAAATGGAGTCCACCCCCATGTGTGTATTCTCTCATTTGTCCAGAATTTTTTGTTTGTAACTGCAGCATCTCTCTAGTGCAATTAAACCATCTTATCTCTATTGGTTATATTAATTAAAATAACGTGCAAAATGAAATTTTACACAATTAATTAAGTACAAAATCGCATATTGTACACAGACAAAGTATAGTATAATAAAGTAAAAAGACAATTTTTACAAATTAATTACGTAGCAAATCACATATTGTACACAAACAAAGTTTAATACTAAAAAAAGCACTTTTTGCCCCAAACGAAATTTAAAAAGTCTAAAAAGGTACCTGAACTAACATAAATCACTAAAGTTCCACTATGGATGATGATCTAATATTCATTAAATCAATTGAAATAACCTTGATTTCGCGATTTGCACCTCCTAAGCCAGGTTGTCTCTTGATCATCACCGCTATTTTGATCGGAAGGCTCAGGTTTTACATCAGTGCCGGGCTGCTGCAGCTGCAAATCCATATCATAGTCTGCCGAAGTACCTTCATATTCCTTCCCGCGTTTCACGCCTATCGGTACCCCGAACAGCCTCGCGCTTATTCTCTCCGCCTCAGATCTTATGTTATTTTCTTCGCCGCCGTTAGACGCCGCGGCGGCGGTTACGGCGCCTTTCATTTCTTCACAAAATCTTTTCATAGGTAACAGATCCAGCGGCTTTACTGCCTGGTCATGGCTACTGCTGCAATTGGCGAAATTTGACATTAGAACATAAATATTATTGCATAGGCTCTTCACGTTGCTCAATTCTTTGTTGAGCTGCATGTTCTCTTTCCTCAGACGCTCGTTCTCTCCAATCAACTCCGATGTGCTTCCGATAAACTCGCGTGCAGCCCCGGCGGAGGTGGAGGACGACAGAACCTGTTCTTCCCCCGAGTCCGAAGGAGACACCGTCAGCTGCTGAGTCGCGGCTGGTGTCGAAGGTGCAGCCGCCACCGTTACCGCAGTTAACGGTGTTGCCACCACGGCAGAAGACGTCGTTGCTATTTTCCGACGCTGTATGTCGCAAAGTAGCTTTTTCTCACCTCGGCGGAAGCAATCGTTCGAAAATTCCCACCGATCAGGCACAACCTTCCTAAATCCCTACAGATTGAAATACAACAACGTAATCAGTAAAAAAAAAAATCATTTCCATCGCTTCCAAAAGAATTTTTAATTGAACAGATTTTTGGCGATTAAACTCACGTAAGTGTTGAGTTGACGGACAAAGCTCGAGAAATTGTTGTGCTTGAAATATTTAGGGAGCAAATCTCTAGCGAATTCCGTAGGATTCCATACGACAAATGTAGATCCATCTTCATTCCAGGAGATAACATCATCAATTGTGTGGTCATCCACAAGCTGGTAAGTTTTCGTTAGAAACGGAGTAGGTAACGTCCTTGCCAAGTCTCCGGCGGTCGATTCCCCTCCTCCGTTTCGATCCCCTGGTGGCGGAGCCATAGACGCACCCCACCTACCCCAAACCTGAATCAAATCAAATTCAATAACCAAAAAAAAAAAGAAAAAAGAGTAGAAAATCAATCAAATCCCTCAAAAGCACCCCTTTCCTGATTACAGATTACCGATAATCAAAACTTTTGTGGCAGATCTAATTGAGAGAGAGAGAGAGAAGAGAAAGGGGCGTAGATTTGTTGTAATTCTAGAAGGTTCCGACAGAGAGGGCGTAAAAAAGTGACCTTTGAGGAGATGTGAAAGGAAAGGGAACAGGGAGGAAAGAACGAGAAGTTTCGGTGGGACAGAGAGCGCATTGAATTCTTGGGATTGCAAAAATAAAATATTGGGAAGCAGAAGAACGTGGAAACTAATAATTAGGTCCGGGGTTCCCAACCTATAAAAGGCAGAGCATTTACATCTCAAATCTTTAAAACGAAGCAATTGAGCCACCAATATTTCAACTTTACGTCAATCTAGGCTTAGTAGACCTCTGATTCTTGTCTAATGAATAATGTCATCCATCTAAAGTTTGGATGATCATCAATTTAAGTAACAGTGGTTAGTGAGCTTAGTCACAATGTCTAATGTCTAAAAGCATATTCAAAGTTTGTTTAGTCAATGAACTTATTACCATTATAGAACGATCATTTGAATTTTAGATAAATAATATTACTATTGCATACTAAAATACTGGACAAGGAATTATGATGTCCATTGCCATCATCTAGACTGATTATGAGCACCATTGTTATTGGCAGAGCAAAATGGGAGCTGTGAGATTCTCAACCCTCTCAAGTATTCCAACTTTTTCCTTTTTCCTTTTACATTTTATTTTTAGAAACTATTATAAAATATAAATTAGAACTTCAATTTGTATTAAAATAGGTTGGCTAGTCTAGTGGTTACAGTTTGACAATGTATCTTCAAGATTTAGTGTTTGAATATTTGAACTCCAAAAGCATATTTTTTTCTTTGAAAAATTACAATCAGTTGCTATTTCCGTCGCCTAGTAAACTTATGTACAACTTTTAAAAATGAACTTTTTAATTTCCAATATTTTATTTTTGTATATTATTATATTTATGGGCATATTTCAAGAAAGTTCAAGTGCTTTCTTAGTTGCTTACATTTATGAACATGATTAGTCAATTGAGGACAGAAGTGGTCAAAAGTGAAAGGCTAAGGATTCAAGTACTATATTTTGGAGGTAGAGTACTAAAACTATTAATGTTGCAAAGGTTGAGGATCCGACTTTAATTTCACCTATTTATTTATATATTTATTAATGTAACGTGCAATCTGACGGCCGATAGTCAGCGGAATTGTTTGAAAGGATAATTAGGACATATCGTTTCTGTCCTTTATTATTATTGTGGAAAATGTCTCCACTTTCATTTTTTGATATTTTATCATTATTTGCACTTTTAATTGTGCAAAAGGTTATTTTCATCAATTTTTTCATATAAAATTATAAAATAACAAATATACTCTTCACATTAAATAAAATAAAAGAAAAAAGGAAAAAAACTAATTACGATCATATTCTAAGTTTTTTTAAAAAAAGTTCAAATAAGTCAAAAATAAATTATTAAAGGGCAATTAGTACATAATGTCCTTACATTTCACTATTATTGCGAAAAATATCCACACCTTTCAATTTTTTTTTTATTTTATTTTTTGCATTTTCACCCTTAATTACATCTTTGATTGTGTAAACCATCATTTCTATTCATTTTCATCCAATTTCTAAAAATGCCTAAAAAAAGCCAAAAAAATGAAAGATAATGACGTTTTTCACAATAATAGTAATAAGTGGGGGACGTTATGTGTTAATTACCCTGTTGAAAATATCAAAAATTTGGTCAATTTTGACCGGATTGACTGGGAGATATATCCAATGTTTGTTAATTTTTAAAATAACTTAAAAGGTAAAGAATTTAATTTTTAATAAATCTGGTAGTCTCATTTTAAGTCAAATAAAGAATCGACGGGTGACTAAATTAAGTGGGTGCTTGGTAGAGATTACAATTAGATTTTCAGTAGATTGTGATAGAAGTTTTTGAAATGTATGGTTGAAAAATTGTGGAATCCATGAAAAAATGTGTTTAATATTGATTGTTTGACTTTGACTTAGATTAAAATTTGATTTTAATCTGAAACAAACATGACCTAAGTCTTAACACGTGCGTAGTTTTTAACATAACCTTACTACTCTAATTATCCATCTATCACATCAAATATGTTTCAATTTTCATACCATAAAAAATAATACGAGAGTCAAATTTGGAAAATTGTAAAAAATAGTAAATCCATTTTCTTCTATTATTTCTTTTTTGGATAATAAGCAGATATATCTTATGTGGTTCAAAAAATGAGTGCGAAATTCTGATCCAAACACGGATTGATTCTGGTCCCCCTCAACATCTGATGAATGGTGCACAGGAAATTCGAAATATAATTTCACTATTCATCCTCACGAAGAAAAACACAATTATCATCCAAACATCAGTACCAGCTTTTTTGGCCACAATGACCATTTGAGTTATTCAGATGAATTCCGACAGGTAATCGATTTAAATTTTAATGTCGACACGGCTTTTGAGCTTCGTCTCGTAAAATAAAATAATGTTACATATTATCATTGATTTCAGATAAATTTACTTTTTGAAATAAGGTATATGTTTGAAAGAATAAACATAATAAAGACAACATCTTCTATTCATGATAAGCCAATTACGGCATCTAATTTGCATTATTGATCAAGATTCTTGATAAATTCAACACTATAATGAAGATTTTCAGGTACATAACTTTAGATACAAACTTCGTCCATACAAAATTCAGCACTACAATTATAAAATGCTTGACAAATCCAAATGTTGCTTTCATTTTCAATTCTTTTTTTTTTTTTTTTCTTTTGAATCGTCATCTTTGAAAAAAGTATTATTTTAGAATTTTGATAAAGAATATTGTTGACCGCCGGATTTTGTGCAATCCAAACATCAATATATCTCAACTCCTCTTTTCATCTACGTGTAATTATATGTACACTTAGACATCACGTGCAAATGCACGTACATTTGCTCCAGAAAGGGAGTGCACCGATCTTATGTACATCGAACTTGAGTCTAATTATGAACAATAATTGGGTGTGGGAGAAAAACGAATAACAAAAATATACGAGCCAAGATTAGATTACATAATTAAATATTACTTTCCAAACTATACAAAAATACTTATAGATCTAGGGGTTGTGGACGATGCGTTTGGATGTTTAACATCTGACCTCATGCTAACAACTCATAATTTGTTTAAGGCATCTGGAGATGGATCTCAATTGTCACGAACTTAAAGGGCCAATTTGGTATAGCCAATGATTTTGGGTCACTTCTCAAGACCTCAGAGGAAAGATGTGACAAAAGTTGTCGTGGGCTGCATTGCCTCGAGGCATACAATGAGGTGTTGGAACATGTTCCTAATGCCTTCGAGGGGTGGGTGAATGAAGCGATTGAACTATAGCCTCATCATCTCGAACAAAAGAATAGGAGAGACCCAACCCATTCGGGCCCTTCGGGGGTGACTGAATTGGTGGAGCAGGTGAACGCGGAAACCAAATGTCACAAGTTCGAATACCTTGCCAACACTTCATCGGTCGAGCATGTCGCACCGAGCTTGTCTAGTACGGTTTACCTCTCTTGTGTGGTTTGCAGAATATTACACATGAAGCGGGGTTTACTTAGTGCGCACTCACAGTGGTCGGAGCTCCGTCCCTTCGAGGTGGTCTGGGCTCCGCGGGGGGTAGCGGCTGCGGGTTCCTACGTCAGCAAAAAAAAAAAAGAAGAAAAGAATAGGTGAGACCTTTGTAAACGGAGCATTGCGTTTCTATGACATTTTGCTTGGCTGGCAACAACATAGGTGGAGAAGTAACAAATATCCTTATTTCTCTTCAAATTACTGAACTCTTGTTAAAAAGGTTAAATCGAAATCATATATCCAATTCGATAAAATTGATATTACATATAAATTCCCCAATTCTACCATTCTCTTCATTGTTTACATGTACACACAAGTTCATAAATTAGAAAAATCATTTTTAAGTTCTTAATATTTAAATAAATAAATATATTTACTTATCAATAACTTAATTTTTTAATGAAATGGTTATCGAAGTTAAAAATTATTTTGATTCAAATGCTCAAAATTCAAGTTTGGAACAGGTTATTCTAGCCGGTATTCAGGCGCCAAGGCCGGAGCCTGAGTCAAAGAAAGTTCCTAAGGGTATTATTGGGAATTGATAAATAGATAGAAATTTGGACTAGGGGTGTAAGCGGTCCGGTTTTTACGGTTTTTGATAAATTTTCAAATCAAACCGTTTTGACCGGTTTGAGAAAAATTCAAACCTAAACCAAATCGTTTTGACCGGTTTGAAAAAAACTCAAACCTAAACCTAACGGTTTGGTCTGGTTTTAAACCGCCGGTTTCGCGTATATTTTTTTCCTATCTAGTATCTACTTTTATGCCATTAATTCAATATATGTTTATATCTTACTAGAAATAAATCTAAAACAAACTAAATATATTTACTATAAATTTAAATACCAACAAAATAAAAGTAAAATCACAATAAACTAAAGCATAGTTTTTTATTCGCCATTTTGA